AATAGAATAAACATAATAATTATTATATAATACATATATTATTAATATGCATAATGTTAAACATATACAATAATAATAATTATTATTATTATTTCAAAAAATTTTGCAAAAAGCCTACAAAATTTTCTGTAAAAATGCCAAGAATGGCGCAACGCCCGTGCCCGGACCAATCATAATCAACGGGATTTTGCGCACATCCGCGTGCGTGTTCGACGGCGTCGGCAGTCGGAAACGCCCACTTTCTTTCAAAATCACCTGAATTTATATTATTTGATGCGTATAATAATAAATATTTGATAACAATAAATATTATATAAAATAATAAATATTACATAAAATAATAAATACTAAACACAATAAGATAATAAATAAAAACGCCCCGCCCCCTCACCTTAACAACGTCTCCCACCCTCAACGATCTCAGATAATCCGTCGCCAGACCGAATCTCTCGTAGCCCCGCCCACTCGCTGGGTCTCCGCCCATTTTTAGCATTGAATACACAAAACGGACACGCCCCTTTCTTGATGCTTCCTTGAAGCAACTCGATACACTGTACGGGCGAGGTATTAGACGAGGTAGCAATTCTAAATTATTAATTATTATTTATTATTATATTATTTATTATTATATTATTTATAATTATATTATTTATTATTATATTATTTATTATTATTATTATTACTATTATTATTATTATTATTATTACTATACTAAAAATACAAAACAACAATATCATTAACTATAACCATTGTGAATAACATTCACAATAATATCAATAATAAATAATAATAATAAATAACAATAAATAATAATAAACAAATAAATAATAATAAATACCAACCCAACAACCTCTCCACAGGCGGTTTACACGATGGAAACGCAAACAGTACGTCAACCAGAGAGAGCGCAGGCTGCAAACAATACATTCATAAATAATAAATATTTAATTTAATTTATCGAATAACAATAATAAATAATAATAATAAATAATAATAAATAATAATAAATAATAATAATAAA